TTTTCTTCATTCTCAAAATAATCTTTTTTTTCAAAGAATTTGTAGTTCACAACATGTTCTTATACATTTCTTTCTCTTTAGTGCAACGCTCTACCACACATTTTTTCTTTTCTTCATTCTCATCAAAAACCAACTTTGTAAGATTATTTAAGGACGATTGGATTATATATTAATGGTCAAAGTTATGCATTGACAAATATGAAAAGTGAATTTTGGCACTTATTTAAGAATGGAAGAAGTATTACGGAGTTGTCAATTTATCATGAATAACATATAACAAATATCGATTAAAAAGATAATCCAGTGAGCCCAATAAACGTGATAGCACTAGTGATGTGATACGAAAATTTCACTAAATTCTTAATGTTCCATATATTTTTGAAAACCGAATAAAAGCGAATCGAACTAAGTAAAAAAAGATCAATAGCTTTTTATTTCATTTTTAAAACGTAACAAATTCAAACCGAATCAAGCTGAAGTGTAGTACTCCCTCCGTCCCTTTTTATTTAGCCAAACACCTTTTTTCAAGTCAAAGTTGTTCAACTTTGACCGATTATATATTTATACACGATAATATTGATAATATGAAAATTATATGAAAATGTTCTTTGTTGAAAACACTATCATAATAGTATAAATTTGTTATGTTTTACATAAATATTTTAATTAAAATAATGGATCAAAGTTAATCACCTTTGACTGGAAAAGTCAAAGATGGCTAAATAAAAAGGGACGGAGGTAGTATAATTTTTCTTGGGTCACGGACAGAGACACAATCGCATCACGCCGTTATACCGGTGTGTTTCCGAATCACGGAGGAAATCCACGATGAAAGTAACGGCGGCACATGCATCAGATCGCAACCAATATCGATGCATGTGATTAAGATCATTGAGTGTTTATTGTGTTCCTTGGATTATCTTTAAACCAATTAATTTGTAGTGTATATGTTTTTTTTAATGAATATCATGTATTTGTTATATCATGATAAATTGACAGCTGCGTAATTCTTCTCTCGTTCTTAAGTGTCATCACATTTCATATTTTTCAATGCATAAATTTGACCATTAGTATATACTTTATCTGTCCCTGAATTGTCTTCCAAAGTTGATTTTGCATGGGAATGAAGAAAGAGAAAATTGTGTAGTGAAGAGTTGTACTGAAAAGAGAGAAACATGTAACAACGTGTAAAACATATAATGAAGCACAAATTCTTTGCAAAAAAAATTATTTTGAGACTGACGAACCATAAAATTTGAAAACTAATTCATGGACAAGGCAACTCTAATTCTCTAATAATAAAAAATCAAAAAAATAATAACTTATTAATACCTTAATAAATAAATCGTAGTTAAAGTAGAGCATGTGTATATTGTAAAATTCAACATATAGCATTTATTTAAAAAGAGAGGAAATATGTCCTGATTTTAGGACCAAAGTAGTCTAAATTTATATCATTAATAGAGTACAAGCTCAAATTAAAAGAAAAAATATTAAAAATAGTAGCAGGTTAAAATTTTGCTTACACACGGTCATAACTCATAACAACCAACAAAGAAACAACTTGGGTTGGCTTCACCGTTAGTAAGGGGGTGTAATTGCCCTTCTTTCATTGCTTTTAAAGTTTTTTGCATAAAAAAATAGTTTAAGGGCTTAGATACCCTTTGGTGACAACTTGAAGGGGTTTTTTTGCCCCTTTTCCCTTTAGTAAATGAGGGTTTGTAAATAGAATTTCCCAAATTTTATTTTCTTTTCGACACTTGAATTGCGCACAAATCCAATTTGGGAAAAGGACACTAATATTACTATTAAGAGGCCCATTTCCACAAAAGTGAGTTCAATTATAAAAAGACAAAAAACTTATTCAGCGGGTAATAAAATTGGAAACTACATCAAGGCACCTATAAACAACACCAACCTTCCTCATCAACTTCCGAATCAACTTGGAAGGTACACATAGCATACTACATTAACAATGCTTAAAAATACACTATATTACTCTTTTTTTTTTTAAAATAATATTTCAAATTTTCAATGCAACCCATAACCATTCACTGTATAATAAGTCTATAAATTAATGTTTTTTAATTTAATTTTATACTGCAAATAGAAATTTGGATATGAAATTTATGTGACAACTATTCGGACCACCGTCCCATTTAGTCATTTACAATTACAGATCCAGGTCACTATCCCAGTTACGACTGCTCTATTGACACCGTCTCAGTTACTACCGTTTCAGTGACACCGTCTCAGTTACTACCGTTTCAGTGACTCCGTCTCAGTTACTACTGCTATAGTGACCACCGTCTCAGTTACTCCTCCAGTTATCACCGTCCTAATTACTACCACTCCAGTTACATACCACCTCCCATTAGTAGCGCTAAGTAGTCACAGTTACAATCACCAGTGACATAATTTTTAACCGTTTCCGTCCTCCCATCCCATCACCGTCACTAATTTCCAACATCTCCATCCAGAAACATTATTCCCACCGCCAAAATAGCAGCCTTGCCTCACTAGCTCTGCCACCCCCGCAACGGTGATTGCCGCCGCCGCCACAATAGTTACTACCCTTCCTTAAACTGTTGCAACAAATTAAACCATATGATTTCTCAATGAACCAGGCGCCTTAGTGATGTGGACACCCAGCGACCACCCAACACCACCCATATCCCGCCCAACCTCCCGCAATGCCTGCTTTCCTGTCTAGCACAGAGGGCCGTGCCTAATGTTGAGGTCTGTGAGGCATGGGCCTTAGGGACCAGAAAATGTAAAAACATTAGGGGCCCAAATTTTCAAACACCTATATATAAATATATACACAAATATTTTTCAATTGTTGGATTATTGGTTTGTAAATTGTTAAGAGCTAACTTGTTAGATAATTAATTGCTATTATTTTGTTATTTTTCTTCTATTTAAATTTAGAGTTTAACTTATTAAGTTTTTGTTAAAACTTGCTATATCAAAATGTTGTTGTAGATTTACAAATTAAATTCAATAGTTCTTCACAATTTATAAAAAGAAGATTTAAATATTTAACACATCCTTTTTAAATATGGTATGTAGCTTTGTTATTTAAATTAAAGTATTATAAAAAATAGGGAAAATGGTCGAATAAGCCCTCAAACTTATATAAAAAGGTCAAATAAGCCCTTATATAGGAGGCTCTGTCTATCCGTCGCCATTTGGGACGGTTACCGGTGGAATTTTTTGATGAAATTTTTTGAGCATCTTATTCATTAAGTCTAGTTTTCTCATACCAAATTTTAGCTAACAATTCAATCAGGAAGGCATTCAAATGAATTCTTGAAGATAACAATGAGTGATACGCATGACGTGGAAATGTATGGTCAGGCTCTAACGGGCATTGCTTCCTTGTGTTCAGATGTGTTGAGGCGAGTCGACTACGACCATCTTATACATGCTCCCATCTCAGGATTCTATGCCATTGACATCTAGTGCAGCGAGGTCTTCTACATCCCAAACTAAGCATGACAGAGTTGTTCTTCAACCACAACAGCGACGTAGGCATCAACAACATCTCCATGACCAAGACGATCAAGAAGACCATGAGAACTTGTAGTTTGTCTTTTGTATTGGAGTTTTTCATGTACACTGAATGTTGTAGAAACAATTGACTTTATATTTACGTATTTCCACCTCCAAACAATTGAATATTGTGTTATTAGTACTTATTCCTTTGTTTATGATGCGTTGATGTGTTTCGTTATATATATTGAATGTCTGTATGTGTTTTATTGGTTATCAATCTTATGTGTTGTATGTTATTTGTAACTTGTATGTTACTGGTGATGTATGTGTTTTGTGAGCAAGTTTTTTATGTTCTAAATTGGTAGGGAACTGGCTGTTTTTGGTTTGGCAGGTGCAGGGGGTAAGTCGCCAAACAGTTTGGCGACTTGTAAGTCGCCATCCGGTTCGGCGACTTATAAGTCGCCAAACGGTTTGGTGACTTTCTCCGACCCTGGTTAAATCCAGCAGTAGATCGGTAAATATTATTAACCCAACATTATTTGCGTAATTAATTAATTAATTAGCATTAATTCGAAAAAACTCCACTTATCTTCAAGAATTCATTTGAATGCCTTCCCGATTGAAGTTTTAGCTAAAATTTGGTATGAGTAAACTAGATTTAATGAATAAGATGTTTAAAAAATTCATCATAAAATTCAACCGGGAATCACCCCAAATGGAGACGGCCAGACAGAGCCTCCTGTATAAGGGATTATTTGACATTTTTATATAAGTACAATGGCTTATCTGACCCTTTTCCCAAATAAAACAGAATAAAAACAGAGTTCCCTCATTTTCTTCGAATCTTAAATCCTCCAACACTCCATGGTGGCGATTGAAGAGAGGGAAGAGTCAGCAGTACCGTAAGATCTTCCTCACAATGCCTCTTATTCATCATGTTCTCTGTCAAACCTCCACTTTCGCCACCAATCACAGATGACCTTGATTGCATCTAGATCTGTTCTAGCTTTTAACCCCAAGCTTCGTCTATGACCTTCACACAATGATGTCATCATCTCGCTATTGTTGTCTTTGCTTCTTGTTTGCACCAAGAATCTCATCGCAAGGAGAAACCCCAAACCGAAGAGTCGTCCAATCGATCATATCGGCAAAAGAGCTAAAACCCTAACTAGAGGGAGAAACAGTCGCCTCTTTTTTCGTGTGTGATTACTTGGTGTATGATACTTTAAAAATGCTAATATATTTTAATTGCAAATGATGACTTTTTGTATAATACTCTTGTTAGTTTGGGACATCACGAACCTTTCTGAATCATCCCGCTCTCAATTCAAATCAGACAAGACTAAGACAAAGACTTGTCCTAAACCATACTGTTACTACTAATTAAGTTGGCACCGGGATAACCTTAATCTCGACCCATACCCACCCTTATCCGAAACCATTCTACGTAAATAAATTATTGTCTAGTAAATAAACATTTAGATTTTAAGGCTAATATGAAAGTTAAAAGAATGTATAACTAATTATTCACATTTTAAACTGATGTATTAAAAAGCTTCTACAAATAATACACAGTATCAAATAGAGCAAACATATTAGTCAGTGTTATTTGGAGGTCAAATGGAGGATGTCGTCCTCTGTGATGATCTAAAAAGAAGGTTTTTATAAGCATGTAATCAATAGTAAGTGGGCGTGCCAATCCACTGGCAGCGAACAATTCCGGGTGCTCCTCCATAGCATAACCACCTCTCACTGCCTTCCATCTCACCCTGTGGATTGCTACACTCTTGGAAGGCAGTTCATATCCATCTACTTCGCCACTGAAGGGCAATGGTTGAGTAGTTTTTGTTTCATTAATGTCGCTTGCTTTTAATTTAGGCGCCTGTTTGTTCTTGTGAGTCGCCTGTTTATTTATGTTTTCATTCATAAATAAACTGGTAGGGTGTTCCCTGGCCCCTACCCCAAGAAAGTCTGTACGCTTTCTTGGTCTCCAACCGGGACAAAAAAAAAAAAAGATTACATCACTCTTCAAATGTGAAGTCTAAAACTAAGTTCTTCCTTTAAATGCAAGTGTAGACAAAATGTTACCTAGTTGTTTATCTGATGAAGGGAGGCTTCTCAATTCACCCTCCTTTGTTGATTTTTCTTCATTGGGTGGTCCTGATGCAGAAGTGCGTACAACTCTCAACAAATCTGTCCACTTGTTTGTCTTGATCATCCGGAATGGGATATTAGGCGTTGGTGTGATTACTGTAATGACAGATTCTACCTCCGCAAATGATCCTCAAAGAAAATGTGGAGTTCGATATCTGATGGCGTCGCTCTCGACTTGTTTAGTTAACTGATTATACTTGCAATAATAAACAAAATAAATAACATATCTCCTATCCATTCATTATGCAGTAGCAACATAAATGGGTGCAATAAGTATACAAATCACTACTCTTGAGCACTGAAAAGTACCATGATGAGTGAAGTACCTGGAAATAGGTAACAGTCCCATCAGCACCGCAATATGCCACCATCTCTTAATTTAAAAAAGAAACATAAAAATACAGAATGTGTCATCATGAGGCCATTTATCACCCGCTTTACAATTCGAAAGTTCAAATGAGTTTTTCTCCTGTAGCCCGTTTTGGAACTACACAAATAGAGGGGGTAATAACTATTAGAACTTTGAACTGCGTAGTACGAAAATAGAGTGTAGTATCTCTCACTTGCTAAAGTCTGAACAAATTTATGGCAGAAGTGCTAAATGCTAAATGACAAATTCAATCATATTTTTGGCAGAAGTGAGAATGATTCAAGTTGGCAGAATGATTCAAGTTGGCATTCTCAAAGAGAAATATGCCATTTTTTTGGCATTTTCAAGAGAAAATGGCAGTTTTTAGTAAATATGGCATTTTTTAACGGGCGTAGGTGGTGGTGCAGGGAGGCAATACCACCACCTCCTGTCACCGGGGGAAAAGAATGCCAAAAATATTACGAATGCCATATTTATGGAAGAAGTCAAAAGGATTCAAGTTGGCAGAATGAAAATGTTGACATTCTCATAGAGTAATATGCCATATTTTTGGAATTTAAAAAAAAAAGTGGCATTTTTTACACCGATCAGAGGTGGTGATGCAGGGAGGTAGTCAGACGGTGGGAAAGGCATCCATATATTTTTTAATTTTTTATGGAGTTTTACTATTTTTTATTAATTAAAAAAAATTAAAAAAAAAAACATTTTTTTGAATTTTTACTTTATTGTAAATTTTGTTAATTTTTTTTATTTTTCTACGAATTATTGAAATTTTTCGAATTTATTATGAATTAAACATTTAATTATGACTTTTGACTATATTTTACTCATATTTAAAGGAGGGGTAAGAATGGAATGAAGAAATAGGTATGTTTCCAATAAGACCAATATGGTCCTATTTTTTTGGAATAAAAAACACAGCAAGTCCTATTTTGAATTTTTGTCATAGTTTAAGTTCTATTTGAAGTAATTTCTAATAACTACACAATGCATCATAATGAGCCAATGAGGCCATCTATCACTATTAGGAATATATCTAGACTGCAAGTTACCTATGCTTAGTAGCTGCAAACTACGCAAAGAGGGAAGCAACTATTTAGCTGATCCTACTCATTACAAATCTATTGTAGGAGCTCTTCAGCATGTTACTTTAACAAGACCAGAGATCAGCTTTGCAGTAAACAAAGCATGTCATTTCATGGCATCTCCTTTAGATGAAAACTAGAAGGCAGTCTGGTACACTTAAACATGGTCTTCAGATTAAACCTCATACATCAAGGTCACCTACTCAGCTACTAGCATTCTGTGATGCTGATTAGATATTGTTAATTTTCTTGGCATTTATTTTGTTTTTGGCATGGGTAAGGTTTGGTCCCCCCATGTCGGTTGCAGTTCTTTTTTTTCATTTAAATTTGTCGTTACTTTAATGTATTTACGGAAGGGATGCCTTCTAGAGAGGTTTTGGTCTTGTCCCCCTCTCTCTTTGTATTTTTTTTTTCAATAATCAATAATATCTGGCAAATGTTTCCCGGCATTTGCCCCACTGATTTTGGTGGTTTGCCTTCTGGGTTTAAAAAAAAAAAGATTGGGCATCAGATCCTAATGATCTGATAGAAGGTCAACACCTGGTTCTTGCATATTTTTAGGACCTAACCTAATCTCTTGGTGGTCCAGAAAACAACTATGTGTTGCCTGATCTTCAGCTGAAGCTGAATACATAAGTCTAGCAGATACTGCAGCAGAAATATTATGGCTTCAGTACCTTCTTCAAGAGATTCAAGTTCCATTTTGTGTTCCTCAAATCTACTGTGATAATCTGAGTACAATTCACCTAGCACATAATCATGTCTTCCATTCCAGGATTAAACATATAGAACTTGATCTCTACTTTATCAGAGAGAAGATCTTTCACAAGAAGCTTCAAGTTGAACATATTCTTGCCTCCTATCAAATTGCTGATGTGCTAACCAAGCCACTAGCCACATCCAGATTTCTTAAGTTGAAAGACAAACTCAATGTGATTGATTTCTCAAATTCATCACGCTGAGTTTGAGGGGGGAATATTTAGGGGTGGGATCGGTCCGGTCTGGGTCGGGTTTTTGCTAAACCTGGAAATTACCCGGAAGGTCTCGGGTTATGAAAATTAGGGACCGGAACAAAGCCCATTATATTCGGTTCGAGTCGGGTTTTTGGTAGCCCGGGTTCGGTCCGAGTTCGGGTTGGACCGGTTAAAGCCCGGACGTGAAATATGTCATTGTTCTTTTATATTTTAACACTTATTTTCAAATAAAATTAATCAAAAATACAAACTGCAAATAATAACACAAATATTAGTCTCCAAAATCACAAACAATTCAAATTTAAAGAAGATAATTATCTTAGTATTTTATGCAAGATGTATATATATATAAATAATATAGGTTTCTTAAAAATATTACGAAATAAATTTTATAAATAAAAAAAGTTACTAGAGTTGCTATAAATATATTCTCATGATCATCATAGCAACCATGAACTATATGAGCCAATTATTAAGGCTTATCAGGCTTCTCATTCACAAGGGAGTAGTCGAACTTATATACATGTCTCTAATAATTATACTTGATTGGTGTGGTTTCATTGTATAAGTAATTTTTTGTTATCTTTTATGTGTTTATTTTCATCCTAAAAGTTAAATCCATGCCAATAACAGTATCCAAGAACTTGTAAACGAGTTTGCGCCAGACAATGGCTCTTTGAAGCATCGTGAATTTTGTAAACTCAAAGTTATATAAACTGCGCTTTGGGATATGGATCTTGGGTTTCTTGTAGGAGCATTATTTTACCACAACTAAGCATTTATACATCATATGATTATATTTCTAATTCCCGTGTTTTATTTTTCTCATGTTCTTTATCATTTTATCTTTATTTTATCTTTTAATAATTATCCTTATTAGCTTCGATTTCATAAGTCAATTCATGTAAGTTGATCTTAAATTCACCTGGGACTAAGGTGAGGATGTTCTTGTTGTAGTATTGAGAGTTGAGACGTGTCAGGATCATATTGTTAAATAATAATTTGTAATTCGGAACTTCTTCTCATCATCCCCAAAACACGACACATATTCCTCAATGATAGGGGAGTACTCTACAGATTTACATGTAAAATTGTAAATAGTTTGTGTTATAATGTCTCATTATATTATATTTGAATGGTGTGTGTCAAGCAGCTGCGCTTTGACATGTTAAATGAATGTACCAACTCAAAAGAGTTATTATTGAGGTTAGTGGTTTGTAAATTTCTTTTTCACTTTCCCAATCATGTATTCCATAAAAGCATGATAATAGCTAATGAAAACTCCTTGAAGTTATTAATTAATAGATATAGATCAAACTGAATAAATGTTACGCCAAAGAGATAGGACAAGTGGGACAAATGGGACAGGGGATTCAAACCCAATAAAAGATTATAAAACCATGATACATCTTTAAGTAAGAGAGAAGCAACCTGTTAGCCATGAAGCTTGCAGACTCCATAGTGCATAAGAAGATCGCATATAGGTGTGAAATCCGTGTTGTTTAGATATGGTGAGTGGTTTTCCGTAGGGGTGGGCATAAAATCCGAACCGAACCGGTACCGAACCGTCCCGTAATGGTACCGAACCGAATACCGGGTATTTAAACGGTTCTATATATTTTTGTCCCGTACCGAAACTGTAACGTTTGAAACGGGTACGGGACCGGTCCTAGATTTTGAGAACTGAAAAATACCGGACCGAACCGTTTGAAAATAATGCACTTGAATTTTTTATATTTTTTCTATACCAATTCAATAGAACTCTTTTATACACCAACAATTTTATAGTCCACGTATGTATTTATGTGTCTTTAAAATAGCTAAATGTGGGTGTTTATATACGAAGTATATAATATACTCCGTATATATTGTTATTTTTTCTTTTTAGATAATTTATGTTATATTTTGGTATGTATTGAAAGAATATTAAAATTTTAGAGAAATCATTAATGACTTCATTTCTAGTAATGTTAGCGTACATGACTTTTTGTTGTATCATGTTTGTGCAATTTTACAACTTAATTAATATGGTTTAAATCTTAGCTCTCAAGGTTCAACTATAAATTGAATTAGAACTACGGAGTAATATTTAACCTAGAATGAAGAAGAAGATCAACGTTGAGGATTTCTATTATATTCAACAATTTGATGATATTTTTTTTATATTTTCACATGAACTAAGTAAATTAAGGATGATATTTATCTCGTTTATCATCGTTTTGATATACTCTTTCTTAGTTGTGTTGCACTATTTGTTTATTTGTGAATTTTAGTCCTATATATGCAATTTCTTGTATTTATATCAACACTTCATGTGAGTTGGTTGGTGTGATGATATCTAATAATTGCAAGATTTGTTCAATTTTTTTAGCATGTGTTTGGCATTGTACCGTACCGTTTTGTACCGTTCCGAAACGACATGGTACCGAACGGTTCCATCCTTGAAACCGGACCGTAACAGACCGTTAAAACCTCACTGATACATTACGGGTTTTACTAATTTACCGGACCGTTCCGGACCGCGCCCACCCCTAGTTTTCCGGACACATGGAAATCATTGGTAGCCTTTACCAGACTCTGAATCCTTAGAGCATCTTCAATGGTACAATGTGCACGGTGCACACGTGGCATGCGAGATGACCACATAAATATTAGTAAATAAATTATTTCTCTCCTTATTTGAATGATTTTATACAGTTTTGGTAAATTTTTCTCCACAATGTCAAAGAGACCGTCTAATGTTGACATTAATGTTGACATTATAACATTAGAGATGCTCTTACGGTTCCATCATCACAAGCTACCAAAATACACCTTCACCGTTGACAATCAAATTTGAATGAGAGAGACTAAATTTGGAAAGTATTATTTATATCAACCAAATCGATTAAGAGAATATCACAAACCTTGGATCTGGTAACCAATCCAAACTATATACACACTCCTTGACCAGGATTGTATTCTCGCAAATGTTGAAATGGATCACTTCAGAACAAGTATTAGGTCATCAAAAGAATGTATCGTGAAACTACATATTTTGACTTTTTAAAAGATAATGCAATTACAGCAGAAAAAAGTTAAATAAGAATTTAGTTAGAACTTGAAAGGATCCATTAGAGTATACATTCCAATTGAAGCAAAATGAAAGAAAAAAATACAAACTGCAAGTAAAATTTATAAGCATAATTACCGACTTACCGTAAGTCCCAATACTTCAAACCCTTGTGGCTAGCAGTGATGATGATATTTTCCCTCTCACAATTGGTGCAAATTTATCATTATGCCATATAGTTTCATTGACATGAAAAATAAACATATAATCAAATAATAAGAAGTAGGATGTTTTCTTTTGGACTGAAATTTGCTGGTCTGAACTGGTCTAGTAAACGTCTGATCTCTGAGTATTTTATAACTACGGAAGTCTGGTCTATTCTGATCTGGTCTGGTCTGATGTGGGACTGAAAACAGTCCAAAAGAAAACATCTGATTACTGAGTAGATAAATTCATCAATTCATCATAATGATAGTTGAAAAAAAGAGTAGATAAACACTGTCATCTAATTACTGAGAAGTACCTAGTATACTAGTTACTGACCTCTCACCCGGTGCCCAAGCAAGTGACCCCTTATGGGAGCTGTATCTGCACTGAAGCAAAGCAAAGGCTTTGTGTCTCCATACAAGAATGGATTCAGTAGCCACAATTCATTACTTTCATGAAACTAAAAAAAAATAGCTTCCCGTGAAACTGAAATTAGGTAAAGATAAAAAATGCAATAGAGATACCTTTAGAGGAGTTTGTGGTAGAAAACTTCCATAAAGCAACCTGAAAGAGAAGTTATTACTTCATCAATTGATTCTTCGTAAACAAAGGATACTTCTTATAAATGCTGGGCTAGATGAAAACTTCGCAGATGGAAGTGGAATAAGATAAACTTTTCATTTTCAAAAAAAATAATGCAAAATACTCAGAAACAGATCCGAAGAGAACTTATCAAGAGCACGCAAAATTGAAGGCTGTATTGACCACCAATGTTTCTTATTCTAAATTAGAAAGAACTTTTTCAATGAAAAGAGACAGAATGAGAGCCCCATAGCTAATACCACTCCATCATGACATCCAGCTAAAATCACATCGTGTGAGAGTGACATGGACCACTCCACTGTTAAAGGAATGCTGTGAAATGTAAAAATAACAGAAGAAAATCTATAAATTAGTAACAATATGAATAAACATATAAAACATTTATCAATTTGTGGACTCGTGTATCTTTAGTTGATATCAGAGTATGAATTATCACCAACAACTAAGAATGATGTACCTTTGCCTTTCACCACATTTCAACTTTGAACATCTAAACACAGGTTCCAACTTTACAAATCGAGGATCAGTACCCTCCTCCTCCATGTCTGGTTAATAAATCCGTTTTATTAATCGAGGAAAAGGGACTTCCCACCTATAACATAGTTAGCTTATAAGAAATAATATCATGAAACACAAGTACTAGAATAACGGTTGAAAACCTTGTCTCAACCAGCTAAACATAAATGACCAAACCATCATATAACATTTTAAGTTACTCATATTTTTTGGATAGAATTTAAGCCTTAATGAGGTAGTTTAATATGAGCAATAAAATCTGTCGTAGTCCAAAAACGTGTTGTACATTGAGAGTAAGTGATTTCATGAAAAAAAATTGCGTTGTTCAAATAAGATATTAGATTTCAAAGGGTTAATGCGCCAATGAGATGGAAAAATAAAAAATTGTTTGCTCCTAAAGTGGAACATTGAAGAATTTATGTCCCATCGCGTAAACATTAAATAAGAAACTAGTATATAGCTCATTCGTATTTAGAAGATCACTACATTAAGCTTATGCACAATATTTAAAGAGGAAATAATAGGGTAATATCAGTGGCAGATCTTGTCGCTAAATATAGGGTGTTCAAAATAATTTTACTTACCACACACTAATAATACTTGGTCCAACAATTTAGAAATGTAATTTTTCCAACATTAAAAACCCAATGAATAAGGTTAAAGCAAGAAATATTACATTAATATACAATATATAACTTATTACATCAATTTTATAGATGTATTTTTACATTTTTGTGTTAAAAAATTTGGATGTTCACATGAACACCTTTGAACAATATAAGTCTGCCCCTGGATAATATATAGTGTGGAAATATAGGAGAAAAGACAGAAAAGTACAAAAGAGAAAATGTAAAGTAAAATAGAGAAAACATTAAAATGCAGAGGGCGTAAAAGTCTTGAATTACTCTTCCAATCAAATTGACTTGTAAGATGCAAATCAAATTCAATAATCAACTAACAAAAAAAAATAATCCACGACAATATACTCACACTTCTAAAGCTCCACTTCCAAGCAAAACAGCAAGATACCCCATTCTCTGTCTAGATTCGGATGAAGAAAAACCTTTTAATTTGGTCGCCACTTTATGTCCCATGCAACTTTCCCACTGTGAGCCAAACATAACACCATTCTAGGTAATGCAACATCCTTTGGAATAGTCTATCTTTGTTTTAATTTGAAGCACTTACACCTTTCAACGGTAATTGCCTATGGTCAGTTATCTCCATGGAATTTGTTAATGTTTTCACAAGACGCACTCATCGTATTGTGAAATGTGGATGTTTCTCCAGGGTATTCAGTAACAAGAGGTTGCACATTTTCATTGTCACCATGCTTATCATCTAGTGACACATTTGGCAGCTTCTTCTTGGGTCTTCCTCTTAGCTTTATTGGACTGTTGGATGATTTGATTTGATTTCCTTCACCCTTCACATCTTTTGGTTTATAATTCAATAAACACCATATCTGAACAGCACCCCTACCCGTGAGTGGAGTACCAAGTTTGTGATATGGAGATTGAGGAGGATGAGCAGCAATGGCAATGAACTACACAATCAATTAAAGAAGATACAATTGTGAAAACAGCTTGTCAAGAAAAGAATAATAGAGCCCTCTTATCGTATTGTTATTTGTTTATAACTGGGGCACAGAAAACGAAACCATATACTTATCATTAAAGTAAATAAAAAATAGTCTATGTACCTCACTTTGGAAAAGACACTCGGAGTCCTTAGATGATGTGGGACACCAATCTATACCCCTAACAGAACCTCCAACATAGAGCACAAGATCATTGCTATGACAAGAGAAATGAGATATTAAGTGCTTGTTCAATCTTGTGAGGCAACAATTGTAAATATTACTTCAAAAGATTGTTTGGCCCCCCATAAAGATCAAGAAAAAATCAAATCGCTATTATACCAGGGTTGAGTAGAATTTGTTTTTTCATCGGTCCAGGCTCCCTGCATCATACAATCAAAAAAATCAAAAAACTAGATTGTGAAAGTATGATGCGTGAAGTAATATGCTGAAAGTTAAGCGAGTGGAATAACATGCAAGAAAAAAATGATATCCATATGAATTATGAATTGAGTGGGAACGAGTGAATTACTAAAGATAGAATCCAATGAATTACTTCTAATCAGAGACTTTAAGAGGACTGCTCAAATAAAGGGAGATTTACCTTATGATCAAAACATGACTTTTTTTCTCAAAATAGGAGTACCTAGTTTAAACATCCTTAAATAGGATTTTTTTATTAGTGATTGGACCAAAATACCCCTCACAACCTTTACAACTGCTGCCCAGGGACTGTCGGACCGCCGCCGGCCGCCTGCCGCCGCCGGCCGCCGCAGCTCCGGCGACCGCCGCCGGAAAAATTCCAGATTTTTTTCTGGAGGTTTGCCAACATTCTGCCTCCACCTGCCGCCGCCGTTGGAAACCGCTGCCGCCGCCGGAAACCGCCTCTTCCGCTGCCGCCAAGCTGCCGCCGCCTCCGGACTGCCCCGCTACCAACGGACTGCCTTGGTTGTGCAAGAGAACTAGAGGGAGCAATTAATTGGGTTAATTAATTGCCGGAGTTGCCGCCGCCAGAATCCGTCGCCGGCCGCTGCCGGAGTTCTGCCGCCACCGACGGACTGCCTTGGTTGTGCAAGGAAACTAGGGGGAGCAATTATTTAGATCAATTAATTAATTAAATAGAATTAGGGGTAAAAAAGGTAATGTTAGTCCTATTTAGAGAAAAACATGCATGTGGTCCTATTTTGAGAAAAAGATTGAGTTTTAGTCCTATGTTGGACAATTTCCTCTCAAATAAAAGACCAAAGACAGAAGTAACAAAACCACAAGTAAGATAGAATTTCAAAATTAGATTTGGGTGAGCTAAGACACCTCATTCAAACCATAGCAAAGATTAAACCCATTAAAGTATTTGCTTTCTACCCTTTCAAATTATATAAAATAAAATATTAAACTAATATATGAAACTAAATGCAATAGTATAATTGTGGGAGGAATCCGTACACAATAAAAAGTCAAACCTTAGGAACAGTTGCGGCAGAAAATTGAGGCAAGATAGTTTCTTCAACTTTGTCATATTTCCCATTACTGGTCTCCCTCTTACATGCAAACCTTATTCGTCTTGGTTTATAGCTTAAATGTCTCCACTCTCTAAATTCATCATATACAACGTAAAAGGTACAATGTTGGGCAGCAAAGGAATTACAATGTTATAGTTGAAATACAAATTAAGTTATACATAGGGGGTGTTTGGATCTGATTCTCAAAACTGATTCTGCTCCTTCAGGGAGCAGAAACAGAAGCTGGAGTGTTTGGGTGAAATTCCAAAAGCACTTCTGGAGCTCAAATTTACTCTCAGAATCAGTTTTTTTAGAAGCTGGGGAGTACCAGCTTCTGAAAACTGATTCTGATTCTGCTTCTGCTTTTAAAAAAGAAGCAGAAGCAGAATCAGTTCCAAACACCCCATACTCCCCCTGTACCACTCCCATATTGATGTTTGGTGTGAAATTAAAAGAATAAAAAAAATCAAAGTACACACTAAGCTAAACGCTTCAACATACAAAAGCAAAGAAAATAACAAAAATGGAAGTTGTTTTGCCAATTACAAAAAGAACGTAATGGAAGAACCAAAACGTTGGAGGTCAGCTTGATTAGTAAAATCATCAATGTCCGGCTCCCCACAAAGCTTGGAAACAGTTTCAATAGCTCTGAAGTGATTTTCAACCGAATAGTGGAACGACAAAACTTCAACTCGAGAAGGTGAAGTCTTATCGGTTGATGATTCTTTTTCAGTTAAAAGCAGCAACTTTTCAGTTTGGTGCTTCCTTAAACTGCATTTCCTCCTCTTGTACTGCTTCAGTGCAACATCGGGAACTTCCTCCAAATGTTTGTTAATTCAGATTCCATGGTTGGGCAATCTGATTAGGAAAATGCTTAGTGTACGTGAGTTGTACACAAGTTATACACAAAACCCCCTTAATTGCCTGTGTACACAGACAATTCGTTCAAAAAGGGGCAGTACTTGACGTCAAATTGTCTATGTACACAGACAATGTACACATTTTGTGTACAACTTGTGTACACCAAGAATGATCCATCTGATTATGGCCAAATACGAATCACATACCCACACACTAAAGTTAAAAGTCCCAGACTCTCAGTCTTGAAAAAAGTTGAAGCAAGTAAAACTGCGGACCAGGACTGAGCGTGCGCCGATTGAAGACAGAAGGGAAGCGGGAGATGGGACTCTGCGTTTGGAAACTCGTCGAGCGTAGATGGAACGGCCTGGTTTATTTTATTTGATGGGTTTAAAAAATTGGGTTTGGGTTTGGGCCGGGCCTGTAATAATAATTACTTCATGCGGCCTGTTTAAATAATTCGTAGCCTAGGCGTCTATGGCGTTCTTCCGAAGCCTCAAGGGCGCTGCTTCGACGCCACAAGGTTTATGGCGGCGAGCCTCTCCTAGCGCCAGCCCGCCAGGACGATGTGGCGACGATAAGGCGAAGCCATGACAACTATGAACAAAATAGAGAGCAAAGTACACACAAAGAAATAAAAAAACTGTTGCTAAAGAACTGTTATTAATGTGATTGTCGACTAATAGAAACAAACACAAAAAAAAATTACGACTCTAGTTTGTTGAAGCACTACGACTCACATGGGTAGAGCTAGGGGTGGGCCAACCTAGGCCCTGGCCCACCCCAAATTTTAAAAATACTTTAATTTTTAGTGTAAAAAATTCCGTTCTCGATTTTTTTCGGAAATATTCTTTGTACTAACCCAGTAAGATCCAATGCTCTGGCTCCGCTCCTGACGACTCATGTGACATGGCCCATACTAGGGAGTGACCCGATGGGCAAAATTCATAAATATATTTATACTAATCGTTTATAAAAACTATAGGGCTTAGACATTCATGCTCACATTCTGAAGCTGTTCATAGTGAAATTTCAAAGGACATTCCAAGAAGGCCGCATTTTTGCGGTTAGAAGTTTCATGGTTGTGGAAAATTATATTGTTTTCAAGACTACCACAAATGCCTACAACGTGAGTCTCTTTAACAAAACTCAAGCCTTTGAATTGCATGACATTCCGATCCATTCCCTTTGAGATCGAGCATTCTCATTAACTAAATTCACTACACTACAAGCACAAGCGATTATCGATGAAAAAGATGGGATAGGTACTTTTTGTACTATTTTTGGGGTTATTGATTTGAAACGTTGTTTTTCCATGCACAAAACGTATTTGAATGCAGATATAAGTGTCATTTTTGAATAACAAATAACCTAAAACAATACTCATTAACGACGACCATTCTAAGGCGTTATACTCGTTCGGAGATATGAAGTATGTGAAGCCCTTTTTTCTTATATGGGATTATTTTAGGTTAGAGTTAATCTTTACCATAATATTTTACTCTTATAGAGAAACATAATCTAAGTGCACTCTTTGGATAGAATGGTTGAGATGCTATTGACATACAAACAAATAACTTCTGAACCTATTGTTATTCTGATGCAGTGTTGCAAAACATCAAAATACCAAGGTTTTAATTTATATCTACCTTAATGTTAAGTGAAATTCAATAATTCTTGTTGCTTACATATTTAACACCACCAAAGTCAACGCAGTTGAGGAGTTCAATGAAGAAAGAATGGAACAAATATTAGTACCCATCTTTTACTGGACAAATATATGACTAAAATTGACCTGGACATAAAAATGATCTCGACTTATCCCACGCGAAGCAACTACGCAGCATCCCAGAGAATCAAACCAGATCTTTATCCTCCAGAACATCTCGATCGACCATTGCACCATAGCCTTCGCAGCAACTCCGCAGCAGCAACACCGTCGTATTCTTCGCTGATGCACTATCTTTCAGCACTTCGCCGCCCTTCCTTTTCTTCTCTTTCTCTGTGACGACATAGGGAACAGAGGCAGCTGATTCTGAATGCTAAGGAGTGAATTCGAGCTTCGGAGGTGGTGCTAGTGTCATGCTCTGGACCTACCGGACACGTCAACAACTCACCGTACAGTACAAATAGTCAACCGCAGTTCAACACATTCATACTATACGAGGCGTCTGGAATATCATTCACACGTAGTACATCCATAAACCAGCATAATGTAAAACCATTCATTAAAGCAGCGGAAACAATATTACAAGTGTTTAAGCCACACTTGACAAATTAGGCATGCAAGCCCTCAAATTGTTATTAAGAAAAATAATATCCATGAGCATTATTCATATCGTTTTTAAAACAGGAACAGAAGAAGCACGAACCACGTCTTCTCTCGTTGAATCTTCCCGAGCAACGGGCAACGGTAGCAACCTTCAAGTTCTACCTGAAACTGTGAGGTGGCCTCCCCCGTGAAGGGGAGGTCAGTACTTTGAAGCATTTGAAAAGTACAATGACAACTATACTAAGTATAATCAATGTTTCAACTTCTAAGACCCTCAATCTAGGGAATTACTACATTATGGTTAACCTCGTTCATTTAATATCAATTTACAGTGCTAGAGTCCTACTTCTAGTCACACTACTCTTATACTAGAGCCATGCTTCTAGTTATATTATGTTGTGCTAAAGCCTTAACTTCTAGTCACTTTTACATCGGTCTAGAGCCCCGCTCATAATCACCGTTATCAACCACGGTCTAGAGCCCAGCTCATAATCACCGCTATCTACTTCGGTCTAGAGTCCAGCTCATAATCACCGTTATCTACATCGGTCTAGAGCCCAGATCATAATCACCGTTATCTACATCGGTCTAGAGCCCAGCTCGTAATCACCGATTACTTACATCGGTCTAGAGCCCAGCTCGTAATCACCGATTATCTACATCAGTCTAGAGCCCAGCTCATAATCACCGATCCTTTACAATTCAATTTCTTAGGACTAGTTCCATCAATTATTCAACTAACAATTTCGATTAGTATTTCAATACTAGTCGTTTGTTCGTTTCAATTTAATTCCTCATCCATGTGTAATTTGGCCTTAATATCAAAATATCACGTATATGC